AAATCAAGGGCCACCTGCACAAATCAAGGGCCACCTGCACAAATCAAGGGCTTCCAACACAAATGAAAGGCTGCCTGCACAAATCAAGGGCCCACCTATATTTTATTTACTTCTCTAATTGCTTAACAAAACATCTAATGAACTACTAAGCCATTAAATATTATTAATCTTTCACATTATCTGCCTAATTTTATAGTTATCTACTGATCAACTAATTTCTGTTTACATATTTTTATTGAGATGTGCAATTTAGGTAAATTGCTCCAGTAGAGGAGCTTGTTTTTCACAACATTGGGAGAAAGCATTGTATAGTTCTCATTGTTGGGGACAGGAAGCCTGTACTTAGACTTACCAAGGTCCCTATAGGATGGGTGGCAAACCTTTTTGAGAGCCTGAGGCCAAAATCTAGTCTTCTAAAATAATCTTCTAAAAACATTATCATGCATGCCTATCAGAACCTTAAGAAGATTATGTTTTATTATTATATTTGTATTTGTCATTCTTTATGGAGAACAAGAACAAAATGCTTGAAAGCACTTATAAAGAGGTCTATTTAGGCAATAAATGGACACTGCTTGAAAGAAAGTGGAGAAATTTCTGGTGGAAGAAAACAAGTTCAGCGGATTGAGTCAGGCACCACACGTACAACAAGTCAGGGTACTTAAATGTGGGCAGCGGAAGACACAACTTCAGTTCACCTTCAGTCACTGCCTGCTCCACAAGCAAAAAATCCCACCCCCACCTCCCTAGACCCCAGCTTATCATTTTCTCTAAGTGGGGGTGCAATCCAGCAGTCACAGGGTACACTTAGGACATCCACTCCTTGGATACACCCTTGTGTCATCTGGGGGGGGGGGGCATTGCTCCACCGGAACCCCCAAAGTGATACACTATTTTAGCTGCGGTAACTCATCTAGCAAATAATTATTCAAGAACATGTTTAAGTTTACTAAGCATAAACTTACACTGTTCAAATGAGTTACGGCAAGAATGTACAATTGACTAGGAACATGCAATTTGTAATTAACAATCTTTAATTCACTTATTCATAAATGTAATAATAAAGGCACAATTAATTTCCCTTGTTAACCGGAGAAAAATGTAAATGTAAATAATTACATTTATACTTTTGTAATACTTATACTTACATTTATACACATGTAATACTTATATACTTACATTAATACTTTTACATATATGCTTATTTATACATTAAATATAGTGGAACCTCGTGTGACGAGCGCCTCAATTTACGAGCATTGTGAATAACAAGCTCGCCGATCGCCGACAATTTGTCTTGATTGGTGAGCGCTCGTTTGATTCACACAGTCTCCGTGGTGTAGTGGTAAGACACTCGCCTGGCGTTCCGCGAGCGCTATGTCATGGGTTCGTATCCTGGCCGGGGAGGATTTACTGGGCGCAATTCCTTAACTGTAGCCTCTGTTTAACGCAACAGTAAAATGTGTACTTGGATGAAAAAACGATTCTTCGCGGCAGGGAATCGTATTCCAGGGACCTGCCCGAAATGCTACGCGTACTAGTGGCTGTACAAGAATGTAACAACTCTTGTATATATCTAAAAAAAAAAAAAATTAACGAGAAAACCACATAGTACGTTCCTGCTGCTTCTTGCACATTCTCGGATGCCTCCGACGAAGCAAATAAAATATTTTTTTGTTTAAAGATGCTAATGATGCTGGGATGTAAAGGGGTGACTGCTGTGATGTTGTAAAGCATTGACTTATTTTTGTAGAATAAAAACAAATGAAATTTTTTAAAAATAGAACAAATGTCAAAAAGGTTCATTCGGTGTTTGTCAGGTAGGCTGCTCCACATTTCTTAAAAAAAAAAAAAAAAAATTGAAAAACAGACAAATGCCATAGAGGTTCGTTCAGTGTTAGTCGGGTAGGCTGCTCCATTATAATAAATAAATGAAAAATACAAAAATTTAACACATACGAACGAAAGAAAGATTGTCATTATGGAGCATCCTACCCGACAAACACTGAACGAACCTTTATGGCATTTGTCCATTTTTCAATTTTTTTCATATTTTTTTTTTTTTTTTTTAAGAAACATGGAGCAGCCTACCTGACAAACACCGAACGAACCTTTTTGACATTTGTTCTGTTTTTCAAAATGTTTCATTTTTGTTTTTGTTTTTTAAGAAACATGGAGCAGCCTACCCGACAAACACTGAGCAAACCTTTTGCACTGAAAAAAATGAAAAAAACCAGCGTTGAATGTAATGAAACGCCATTTTCTGGGTGAGTCCCGGAGGCTCCCCGGAGCTATCCCAGGCTGATATGCTAATGTCAGACTTTGGCATCAGTCATGTGTATGGAGTTCTTAGGCCTACCGGGGACCACGGCCAGAACCGGGCCCCCTCAGAGAGGCAAGGGGAGCTATGGCCTATAGAAGCCCCCGTGTGGTTGGAAGCATTCTATGTCTGCCATCGACCGGAACAGGTACCCAGAAAGGTAAGCGCCTCAAAACAAACCCCTATTCTGGTTAAAATTGCTACCAAAAACCGAACTAGTGGATAGAACTCCCCAACCGTAAACAAGCAAACTAGTGTGACGTCACACACCGCCGCGCTGCTGTCTGCGCAGCTCCCCTCTCCCCGGGAGGGGGAAGGGGGAGCCCCAGACCCCCCGCGCCGGCTACCCACACCTCAGTTTTTGAGGCTGGATGTCAAAAACGCGAAAAACCGCCGACCGGAGGGAGGCAGGGATGCCGGGGAGCCTCCGGGACTCACCCAGAAAATGGCGTTTCATTACATTCAACGCTGGTTTTCTGGGGGGAGCCCCATCGGCTCCCCGGAGCTAACTACCCACAGACAGAAAAAAGAGGGACTTACCCGGGAGGCGGTCGTCACTCACTCCTCAACTCGAAGCCGAGACAACTGGCTGCAACCGCCGACCCAAAGCAACACAGGCCCGACGAGGCCCAGGGACATTCACAAGGTAAAGAGCAGCCAGGACCCTGTTCGACCGCCAGAATCCCAGCGCCTGAATATCAGACCAAGACATATTCCCAAAGACGGCAGCAAGAGCCGCGAACTTACGAACGTCATGGGCACGGGGATAGACTGCAGGCTGGCTGGAATTAATAACCCTGCGGACGACCTGAGAGACCCGAACCCGCGAACAGGGAAGAAGGGAAACCGGATCAACCCACAGCGCGTCCCCGGACACAGAAGCTGTGGCGCGCAAATAACGGCGAAGCGCCGCAACCGGACACAAAACATGATGCACCCCCGGCCTGACCAGCCAAGCATCAACCACCCATGGACCCCTCCGGAACGCAGCAGTCTCATTCTTCGCCAGAAAAGAAGGAGACGGCTGCAAACGAACAAAACAATCACCACGACCAAAAGAGCAGAAACCCCTGCGCCGGAGGAGAGCATGAAGCTCCCCTACCCGACCCCCAGAGGCCAAAGCCAACAAGAAAAGTGCCTTGGAAAAACAATCCTGGACCGAAGGGGCCACAACGAAACGAGGAGACGAAAGGAAAGCGAGCACTCTGTCCAAAGACCAGGACGGCTCAGGCGACGCATGAGCAGGCCGGAGGTGAAACAATGCACGAGACAGCTTGCAAAACGGCGCAGACGTAACATCGATACCGAAAGCAAGCTGAAGTGGCTCCGCCAGCGCCGCACGATACGAAGCGACAGTGTTAGGCATGAGATGAGGGTCCTGAAACAACCACTCGCAGAGCACAGTGCAGTAGCGACACCGGAGCCAGAGCATACGACTATCGCCTATAGCATCAGCCTCAAGAACTGAGGTGTGGGTAGCCGGCGCAGGGGGTCTGGGGCTCCCCCTTCCCCCTCCCGGGGAGGGGGGAGCTGCGCAGACAGCGGCGCGGCGGTGTGTGACGTAAAATTAGTTTGCTTGCTTGTTTTCGGTTGGGGAGTTCTATCTACTAGTTCGGTTTTTGGTAGCAATTTTAACCAGAATAGGGGTTTGTTTTGAGGCGCTTACCTTTCTGGGTACCTGTTCCGGTCGATGGCAGACATAGAATGCTTCCAACCACACGGGGGCTTCTATAGGCCATTGCTCCCCTTGCCTCTCTGAGGGGGCCCGGTTCTGGCCGTGGTCCCCGGTAGGCCTAAGAACTCCATACACATGACTGATGCCAAAGTCTGATATTAGCATATCAGCCTGGGATAGCTCCGGGGAGCCGACGGGGCTCCCCCCAGAAAATAAATGTAACAAATTTGAAGAAAGACAAATGTCATAAAGGTTTGTTCAGTGTATGTAAGGTAGGCTGTTCCATTATTTAAAACATTGAATATCATATTGATGTTTTTCGGTGATAGAATGGATTAATTTGATTTCCATTATTTTAAGTGGGGAAATTTGTTTTGAAAGATAATCGTTTCACATAACGAGCTCGGTGCCGGAACGGATTAAATTCATTATTCGAGGTTCCACTGCATTTACTTTTATAATATTTACTTATAATCTTAATATTTAAGAATTTTATACTTAATAAATAAGTACCTTATTGTAAGCGCGAGTTTTCTTCCTGCACAGAAAATAACTCTTCTGGGCAGTTTTAACTGGTACAACTTTAGGAATTATATTTTATTAATAACTAGTAATTCCAAAGAAGTAAAATTATTAACAATAATAATGGATAACAACAATAATAATTTTTTACTATTGGTGGGGGTTTAAAAAATCAAATAGCCGCATTACATGCTGCATGCCATAAAAATTTGCTCGCATGCCACCCTGGGCATGTGTGCTATAGGTTTGCCACCCTTGCCTTAGGATAAATACCGACCTTTCCCAGGATGCAACTCATAACAATTGTTTATCTCCCAAGTACTGTACCTGTTTTTCTGCTAGGTGAACAGAGGCATCAGGAGAAAGGAAACAGGCCCAGCCACTTCTTCTCAACTAAGGCCTGAACCAATCTGAGATCCAAGATTGTGAATCAAGGAGGTAACACCACCATATGACAGTACCCTAATATTATACATAACTCACCACATGATAGAGAGCATCCTTTGGAATGAAAGCATCCTGCACAATGGTGAACTGAATGCTCATGGGTCGTCCGTATTCTTGAGGCTTGTGTTCTGGTGGTGGCATCACCCAAAATCCACTCGTTGTCGTTCCCTGGCCTCCACCCCGTACATACGGTGCTAAAGAAGACAGCATTATTGCAAGATGAAATCACAAGGATGAGACATATCTATGGAAAAATATTGAGGACATCTAGTGGGATCAATCACCCACATCCCTGAACTTCCCAGGCACACTCACTGCTGATGGCCTTGTGATAAATGAGTTACTTTTAGACCATCATGGTCCAATCAGTAGTGCGTGTACAACCTCAGTAATGTGTATTATCTCAGCATTATTATTAACAATACATGCTAGACTGACTGACTTTTAAAGTCAATAGCTTTTCAACCCTACTAACAATTATATGAATAGGTATATACTGTAACTCACAAATTATAATTCCAATACAAGGCGTGTAACTTGCATCATTTGAGCCTTTCATCTTCAGTTCGTACTCCAGCTGAGAGTCTATATCTCTCAGCGAGGGAAGTGGAGGGGAGAATGGATGCGAGTGATACCTGAAAAAATTCCATTAAGGTTTTACCTGGAGAGGATTCTAGTAGTAGTTCTACTCCACCAGCCCATATGCTACTTTTTGAGAGAAAAGTTTCAAAAAATAATTTAGGGGTAACCGAGGTCTGACAGATTCATGATTCCCATTATCGGGGACTGGAAGCCTGCATTTAGACTTATCAATCCACCCTACAGAATGCAACCCACAACATTTCCCTAACTCCCTGGTTCCTATTTACTGTTAGGTGAACAGGCAAAATCAGGTGAAAGAAAACATGCCCAATTATATTTCTGTCTTCTTATTTCAGGTATTGAACTTAGGATCCTCAATTGTGAGTCGAAGACATAGGCCACTGTACTACAGGCCTATTACTTTCCCCATGACCCACACTGTTGCTCTAGGTCAAGATTTTAATAATTCATTGTGTCAGGGGACAGACAGCCAATTTATATATATACACACTACATGTTAGGCTTATTTCAAGTTCACTCCCCCCCCCCAACTGAGGTCGAATTACTGACCCTTCCCAGGATGCAACCCCCATAACAAGCTGATTAACTCATGGGGTACCTATTTACTGCCAGGTGGACAGAGGGATTAAGTGATAGGAAACATGCCCAACAATTTCTGTCACTGCTTGATGGGGATTCTTGGAGTTCTTCTACTCCCCAAGCCTGGCCCGAGGCCAGGCTTGACTTGTGTGAGCCTGGTCCAACAGGCTGTTGCTTGGAGTGGCTAGCAGGCCCACATTATCCACCACAGCCCGGTTGGTCCAGCACTTCTTGAAGAAGCCTGTCCTTCCTGTCCGAGATTCCAACCAGGAATTCTCACTTGTGAGTTGAGACTGTCCTACTGGGACCCTTTATGGTATCTTGTATTAACAGGATAAAAACAACATTTATGGAGACATTCGGCATTTTGACTGGCCAAAACTCACTACTCAAATTTTTTTTAGTGCAGTTGAACTCATTCTCAACTCACAATTGGGGAATCCCAGGTTCAATTCCTGAGCAGGACAGAAATGGTTGAGCTCAATGGTTGAGCAGAAATGTTTCCTGTCAGCTAATGCCTCTGTAACCCTAGCAATAAATAGGCACCTGCGAGTTATACAACTGTTGTGGGGTTGCATCCTGGGGAGGGTCAGTAGTTCGACCTTGGGGGGGACCTCAACACAAGCCAGAAACATATGCAGTTGTTACGGTTATCTTCTGCATAGCAATAGATTCGGCCTGTTCCTTACCACCTACACATCAGCATGCTCCAACATCAAGACTCAACTTCAACAACAACAATACATGCCAAAATGTATTGTTTAGACACACCTTCCCCCCCCCCCCCTCCACCCTACCTTCCAAGAGAGACAGCTGTTACGGACCCGAATCCAGCGTCCGAGCACGGAGGAGTGATGACCACGCCATCTGTGGGTCAGCTCCCGAAACCCCCTCCAAATGGACGGCGCCATCAAGTGAGGACAGGAAATACCAGCCACAAGGGCTAGTTTCCCATCCTGATCAGCCCATAACACAGCCGCTGCTGACCTCTGGTGAGGTGGCGCCTAGACAGCAACGCCATCTATGGAGTGGATAGGTGGGCGTTTGGGTCTGAGCCGGTAAGTGACGTGCCCTAGAGTGTCCCTAGTACTGATGACGTGTCTGATTACAGAGTCGACCTGGGACTGCTGAATCAGATACCTGGTTGATACCTGGTTGATGGGGTTCTGGGAGTTCTTCTACTCCCCAAGCCCGGCCCGAGGCCAGGCTCGACTTGTGAGAGTTTGGTCCACCAGGCTGTTGCTTGGAGCGGCCCGCAGGCCCACATACCCACCACAGCCCGGTTGGTCCGGCACTCCTTGGAGGAATAAATCTAGTTTCCTCTTGAAAATGTCCACGGTTGTTCCGGCAATATTTCTTATGCTTGCTGGGAGGACGTTGAACAACCGCGGACCTCTGATGTTTATACAGTGTTCTCTGATTGTGCCTATGGCACCTCTGCTCTTCATTGGTTCTATTCTACATTTTCTTCCATGTCGTTCACTCCAGTACGTTGTTATTTTACTGTGTAGATTTGGTACTTGGCCCTCCAGTATCTTCCAGGTGTATATTATTTGATATCTCTCTCGTCTTCTTTCTAGTGAGTACATTTGGAGGGCTTTGAGACGATCCCAATAATTTAGGTGCTTTATTGCGTCTATGCGTGCGTGCCATCAGACGGTGGATGAGTCTACCCAAGGCAGCCGTCTTGTCTCCTAGTGTTTGCTGCAGCAGCTGTGAGTCGCCCCCCCCCCCCCCCGGATGAACACTGTGGTGTTACCCTGCCTGTGACATGGCAGTTGAGGGATTGTAGTACCCGGGACTGACTGGTGGAGACGCTTAACCACTGGGGTGTTGTGGCGAGGAGAGTGGTCTGTGGGATCACACGAGGCTCCTGACTAGGGTTCGCGACCTTAGTATCGATCGTGGAGTGGCCTAACCAGTGTCGCTGATTGGAACTTGCCAGCTACCGGTTGGACTTGTGGTTGATGGCCTCCACGACGGTGCCCCCAGTGGAACTGTGATTTGGCTGGCCTGTGGCCAGGGTAGACTCGAGAGAATCGAAGGATTCGTCGTGAGGCCACAAGAGGACCAAGAGCTTAGCATCGTTGAGCACCGTGAACGTCCAGAGTCTTCAGAAGAAGACAACGTTGTACATTATAGTGTTTATTCCTCCCCCTTGTGATAATCTTTATATTATTTATGGTGACGGTGTTAATTATATTATTAAGTTTTTGCCTTTATTTCCCTTCCCCTTTTATTTACTTGCGTTACGGATCACATCCCTTGAAAGCCACTACTAGCTTGGGGCCGGATACCCAAACTCTACGTACATCAGAGAAAGAACCCGGTTGCGACCCGAGAGGGCCGTAACAACAGCCCACCTGCTGTCCCACCAGTTCACTCGAAACCAGACAAACTATCACGATGGTCGTTATCTTGCCGGCTTCTCGTCTACAACTCCAGCATTCGTGCCAAGATGATGTCACCATTCAAATATAAAGGCTTGCCAGTGTCCAACACAGCATATTACCCTTCTAGTGGTCATTGCTTCCACATCTATCCTCACTTACAAGTGACGGTAGATGCACATAGCATTTTGTATAAAGTTTTACCTTAACCTTTGTTATTAACGTTAAATTTACATGTATATATTTTTTTTATTGTGTTTAAGCCAAGCGGATAAGGGGTTTTGTTTTTATTAATTTTTACTTATCATTTTGTGTAAAATTAAAGTATTTTTTTTTGTTATATTAAATGTATAAAGTTTTTATTCACTTGTTTTTTGTCCACAATTGGCACACAGTAAAAAATACCAGCAGTTTTATTTCATTTTTTCTTTTTATTCATGTGAGTTTAGCACAACACCTGCCAGAATCGTTACTGCTCTATTTTAGATCATGTCACACAGTATATACACAGCTTCCTGTTCCCACTGAAACTAAAAGAATTAAAATTAACCATATACAGTACTGTTATCTGTTTTTAAAACAGGCACATCGACTATTTTGCTTCTTTTTTTTTTTTTTAAGTGTTAAAAAAATTTGACTAACTATCCAGCCTGTTTCCTCTCGAGCTGCCACAAAGGACAGAAAATGGTGTTACTAAAATGCTTAAACCTAACCTATTAACCACTCATAGAAAACATGAATTTTTGGAAGCCGCTATGATTTATAGTACCTTTGTACTCACCTAGCTGTGCTTGCGGGGGTTGAACTCTGGCTCTTTGGTCTTTGAATTTGACCTTTGGCAATCTTCACATCAAAATGTAGTCTATTATGTGAGAGGACAGATTGAAATACATCCCAACAAGAGATACATTAGGTGTTGAATGGTAGGTAACGTAGAGTCAATTTTAAGTTTTTATAGCAATATACACTCACTTCTTGCTCATACCTACCATCCAACAAGCGATAAATTCAGTTTTTCCATCTCGGCATACAGCGCCTGTTCAACAACTCTGCCTTTCTCCCCATCTCCCAACCGGCACCGCACTGGTAAGGCGTGAGACACTATCAAGTCTGCAAAAGATGAATCAGTAAGAGCATTATCATGAATGGAATTTGCAACTTGTATATAACAAATTTTCTCTAAAACATTTCAACTACTAACTATATCCACATATGTAAGAGTTACGACTACCAAGAAAAACTTTAAATGCGTGTTGACGAATCTACATACTTGTGGTCATCACAAAAGCATGGCAGTTACCACTTGTTTGCACTGAGAAAAAAGAACATGTGGAATAGATCAGAGTTGCCTTAGGAAGTATTCACAATCAGGAAAGATTAGGAAAAGATAAAAAAAAAAAATACGAAAAAGGAGGAGTGGGAGGACGGGAAGTGAAAACTAAAAAGATATCAAATGAGATAGAGAAACAGTTACTGATGCATCTGATAATGGCAGCTGTCATGAACACAATACTGTTGGATGAGGACTACAAGCATATATACAATCATGTTTCTGACTTCAACTTTTGCTTTTTATTTTCCTTTGCAAGACTTAGAAGTACTGTAATTGTCTTAAAAGGCAATAGCAGCATGACCTTCAATTACTCACTATGATTCGTGACATCCCACTGCCCTGCCAGGTATCCAACAACCTCCGATGTGGTGAGGTGAGCGTGGATATCAATCATAGCCATGGCTGACGATGACATAGTGACTGTGAAGGGCTGCATTCGTCCCAGAGATTGGAATGAAGTTAATTCAACCATCGTGTTCATGTCACTGAAAAACAGTTAAGGCTGTATATAATCTTTACAATTCCATGCTAATCAATTTCCACCATATATTTGTCAACCCAATACCATCACATTTCCTTCTAGGAAAACATTTTATGACTGGGTCAACAGAATACTTTACATACCAGTAACATTTTCTTAAGACATCATATAATGTTATTCATCTTGAATCATTATAGTCTTGGGATCACACACATTTCACATTACCTCTTGTAATTTGATAACTGATGAAAACTAAACAGGCAATTTACCATATTTGCTTTTTTACAGCTCCATGTTTACCCTCAGATTTGTTTTCTTAACTGTTTTTACCCCTTAATACCTCAGTTTTCAATAATCTTAGGTTATTTAGTAATGTTTAATTATTTACTGAACAAAAAATTAAAATACTGAAATTTGCCAAAAGTTAATTCATCTGGGACTTTTTAAACTAAATCTAAAAAGTCATATTGTTTCAATATGCAATTATTAGTTATACAGTTAAGATACAAACAACTGCATTTGCCGGTGCAGGACATAAGGATACTTTCTGGAAACAACTAGCGTTGGATTTAATGAAACACCAGTTTCTGGGTGAGCCCTGGAGGCTTCCTGAAGCTGGTTTACTGATTAAGTTCCATACTACTTGAGGGTCATCAGTCGCAGAGTTCTTGTATGCCTACTGGGGACCATGAGCCAGAACCTGGGCCCCCTCAGAGAGGTCCAGGGAGCAATGACCCATGAACGCTTTAAATGTAAAGTATGTCATCTTGCCATCGAACAAGGAAGGATCCAAGAAAGGTAGGTGAATAAAAACAGACTACTGCCTGGTTGCAAAATACAACCTATGCCCTCAAATTATTAAAAGAACTCCCCCACAAAGAAAACAAACAAGTGAAACTTCGTCCAACTAACCTCCCTGCTCGTTAGCTCCACCTCCTCAGTCACCAGCCAATTTTTGAATGACAAAAGCCACCGACTGGAGTGAGGAAGGGTGTCAGGGAGCCTCCCGGGCTCATCCGGAAACTAGCATTTCATTACATTCAATGCTGGTTTTCTATGGGGAACCCCTTCTGCTCCCTGAACTAATTACCCACAGAGAAGGAAAAAACAGGGGGACTTACCTGGGAGGTGAAAGCACCGCAGTTATCAAGACTATGTAGAGACCTGGCCACGCCAGATGCCCGAAAGCAACACAAGGTCACAGAGGGCCAGGGACATTAACCAGATACCTGGCAGCCAAGACCCTATTAAACCTCCAAAACACCCCGTGCCCGAAAAGCATCCCAAGACATGTTTCCGAACACAGTTGACAGAACGGCATACAGTACTTTTGTACATCACAGGAACGAGGGTGGACCACAGGTTGATTAAACTTAACACTTTCGCCCGGGCATGACGCAGCATTGCGTCATCCGTTTACTGGCGGTAATACCGGGGATGACGCAGCATTGCGTCATCCACTTTAAATAATCGCCAAAAATCAGGTTTTTATCCGATTTTTGGGGGACTGGTTTTAAAATGCGTGCCGATGTCTTCCCATTTTCTTTGTTGAGCCTCGTGGCCCTCAGGCGGCTTGGCACACGCCGTGGGCCCATTGTTTTCGCTCCACTGTTGTGACCAATGTTGCCTCCACTCGCATCTCAAACGTGAACATTTCGGCTATTTTCCGTGGCTATATTTCTTACTGCGGCTTTAGAAACTATCTACGCTTACTCCACAATGGATAGTGATCATGAACAAGGCCCTTCCAGGAAGAAAATTGCGAAAGAAAGGCTTGAAAAGGGCGGGAATTGGGAGTGTAGCTTGAAGGCATCTGAGCGCTCACTTGCGGCTAACGCGTGGCCCGTCTTCAACTCGTCGGCGGTTGTAGCGTGACCAGGTTTTTTATTTTATATGCTAATGTTCCTATAGAGAATTCTATTGCGAACCCATTGAGACCAAAATGAAAGACCTAGGACGAAAATTGAGGTGACCAGAGTGAAAATAGTGAAAACATTTTATCGCGTTTGCGCGCTTTTGGGTAACTCATTCGCACTTTCTCTGTTTGCTGCGGGTAATTTGCCGGGCTTTTGGAGTTTATATGCATTTAGTGCTGTAGAGAATTCTATTGCGAACACAATGATACAAAATTTAATCTCGTAGGACGAGAATTAAGGCGACAAAGTTGAAGAGAGTATACACTTTTCAGAATTTACGCGCGCTCCCGTGACACCCTGGGTCCCATATCGCACAGTTGAGGGGTGGCGGGCGGGGTGCACGAGTGTTAATGCCAATACAGACAACCTGAGACACATGATCCCTGGAACAGGGAACCAGGGAAAACCAGAGCAACCCACAGTGTGTCCACTGACACAAAACTGGTGGCCTGCAAGTAATGGTGCAAAGCTGCTATTGGACTTAACACATGATGAACCCCTGACTGAACCAACCATGCATCCACCACCAAAGGACCCCTAACCCCTATGGAAGCCCGCCATCTCACTCATCACCAGAAAAGGAGCAGCTGACTACAAGGATCAAGACGAAAACCCCAGGTGCCGGAGAAGAGCTGAAGCTCCCCAACTTGACCACCAGAGGCCAAAGCCAACAAAAACAAAGCATTCCAAAAATAATTCTGAACTGAAGGGGCCATCATATGGATGAAAAGAAAAGAAAGAACCTGGTCCAAAGACCAAGCAGGCTCAGGCAGATCACGAGCAGGCAGGAGGTGGAAAAATGCACGACCAAGCTTTTGGAATGGAGCAGAAGTGATGTCCACCCTGATCACAAGTTGAAGTGGCTCCAGTAATGCCACATAATAAGAAGTCATAGCAAGCGGTACGAGACACCAATCCAGAAAAAGCCAAGAAAGAAAGAACAAAACAACCTTGTCGGACACAAAAGAAACCCAATGAAGAGAACTGAAAAAAACAGAGACCCCTAACAGCAAACAGTCTGGGAGAAACTTTGGCGCACCCTAGCTATCTGAAGAGCTGGTTGTGCCAGCCACAGTGCACACCACCAACAATCCCTTATCCAGGGCAAGATGGAAAGCGTAAAACCTCTGACACACCCCAAGGGCGAAGACCACCATTAGTGAGGAAGTCTTCTAATGGAGAATGATTCTTGAATGCCCCAGTGAAGATAACCCTGGCCATGCAGTGCAATACTTACTGAGCACCTAGGGAAGGTGACACCTTAGGCTCATGCAGCTTCAGTACTCTAAACTCTGGCTTACACACAAGTTCGTAAAGAAACACCACTGCAAAGGGCGAAAACACCAAAGAAAACAGAAATATGGAGTCGGAGTGACACCGACACCCGGCACACTTCAGTCAAAAACTGACTGGTGGCAGCCCGGCTAACTCGGGACAGCAACCCCCCCTCCCCCCAAAAAGAGGGGGAGGAGGCTACTAGAGCTAACGTGCAGGGGAGTTAGTTGGGGCGAATATTTGCTCATTTGTTATATTTGTGGGGGAGTCCTTTTGATAATTTGAAGGCGTAGGCTTCATTTTGCAACCCGGCAGTAATCAGTTTTGATTTGCCAACCTTTCTGGGTGCTTCCCTGGTTGATGGCAAGATGACAAACTTTACATTTAAAGTGTTCATGGGCCATTGCTCTCTGCGTCTCTCTAAGGGGGTCAGGTTCTGGTACGGAAGGCATACTTAAGAACTCTGTGACTGATGACACTCTAGTAGTATGGCACTTAATCAGTAAGCTAGCTTCAGGGAGCCAACAGGGATCCCCACAGAAAAATCTAATTTAATGTTTCATCATACATTTCCTGGAAATGATGAAAAGTGGGTTTGTAGGGGGGGAAATATATGATTTTGTGCATGAAAATAATTGTACTGTGTACTTGGGTGGTGGGGAACCATAAATGTGCATCTTATCTGCAGGCAAATATGAGTTATTTTTTTTGCTTCCCAGAAGAAACTTACTGATTGGGATGTCTGTTGCCAATCAGCTCAAACTCGACAATCTCCTGCTCATGAGGTCCATCGCTGTCACTGTCAGTCATCTCCTCTTCATCTAAAACAGCATCAACCATTAGAAAATAAACATTTGAAAGAAGACTCGTTTTTCAACATACAAGCTATACGAATTTTACCACCAATAACTGTGAATCAATGAACACGCAGAAGTTTGTGGTGAAAATTACTCTACAACATACGTTTCCAGGAAGTATAATTATTTTCATTTTATCTTTGCAAAAAATGTATTTTCATTTTAAAGGCTTTGTTTATTTATAGACAGCAGATTTTAAACAAGCTGGAGCAGTTAATGAATCATTATGTCACAACAACAGTTACTGGGTATAGTATTCTGTACATACAGTACAAGAATCAGGATAGGAGAAGTACAGTGGTCACACATATGAGAATCAGGTACTTTAGGGGGCACACTCATTGATCACTAAGGCAAGACCTTACTGACCCCATGTGTGTTCCCAGCAGTGTGACCATGAGTGTTCCCAGCAGTGTGACCATGAGTGTTCCCAGCAGTGTGACCATGAGTGTTCCCAGCAGTGTGACCATGAGTGTTCCCAACAGTGTGACCATGAGTGTTCCCAACAGTGTGACCATGAGTGTTCCCAACAGTGTGACCATGAGTGTTCCCAACAGTGTGACCATGAGTGTTCCCAACAGTGTGACCATGAGTGTTCCCAACAGTGTGACCATGAGTGTTCCCAACAGTGTGACCATGAGTGTTCCCAACAGTGTGACCATGAGTGTTCCCAACAGTGTGACCATGAGTGTTCCCAACAGTGTGACCATGAGTGTTCCCAACAGTGTGACCATGAGTGTTCCCAGCAGTGTGACCATGAGTGTTCCCAGCAGTGTGACCATGAGTGTTCCCAACAGTGTTCCCAACAGTGTGACCACGAGTGTTCCCAACAGTGTGACCATGAGTGTTCCCAACAGTGTGACCACGAGTGTTCCCAACAGTGTGACCATGAGTGTTCCCAACAGTGTTCCCAGCAGTGTGACCATGAGTGTTCCCAACAGTGTGACCATGAGTGTTCCCAACAGTGTGACCATGAGTGTTCCCAACAGTGTGACCATGAGTGTTCCCAGCAGTGTGACCATGAGTGTTCCCAACAGTGTGACCATGAGTGTTCCCAGCAGTGTGACCATGAGTGTTCCCAACAGTGTGACCATGAGTGTTCCCAGCAGTGTGACCATGAGTGTTCCCAACAGTGTGACCATGAGTGTTCCCAACAGTGTGACCATGAGTGTTCCCAACAGTGTGACCATGAGTGTTCCCAACAGTGTTCCCAGCAGTGTGACCATGAGTGTTCCCAACAGTGTGACCATGAGTGTTCCCAACAGTGTGACCATGAGTGTTCCCAGCAGTGTGACCATGAGTGTTCCCAGCAGTGTGACCATGAGTGTTCCCAGCAGTGTGACCATGAGTGTTCCCAACAGCGTGACCATGAGTGTTCCCAGCAGTGTGACCATGAGTGTTCCCAACAGTGTGACCATGAGTGTTCCCAACAGTGTGACCATGAGTGTTCCCAGCAGTGTTCCCAGCAGTGTGACCACGAGTGTTCCCAACAGTGTGACCACGAGTGTTCCCAACAGTGTGACCATGACTCCAGCAGTTTGGCTTCCACCACCTATTACCTAACTTGTTCCAACAGTTTACCACTCTTTTTACAAGAGTGAATTTTCATATATTTCTTTGGCAGCTTTGTTTACCGAGTATAAATCTATGACCTCTTGTACTTGAAGTTGGTCTCACGAATTCTTCCCTAGCAATTGTATTAATTCCTTTTACTGTTTTGTCCTTAGCGATTACATTGCCTCTTTTTCTTCTATCTTCTGGTTTTAGCATATTAAATGCATTTAACCTCTCCTTGTAGCTCTTGTCTTTCATGTCTGGGAGCCATTTAGTTTCATGTCTTTGCTCTTTGCACCTTTTCCAGTTTGTTGAGGTGCTTCTTAAGATATGGGCACAACACAACCACAGTATATTCCAACTTTGGTCTAACAAAAGTCGTGAACAGTTTCTTTAGTATTTCACCATCCATATATTTAAATGGAATTCTAAAATTGGAGAGTTTAGCATAGGCTCCTCACACTATGTTCATTATGTGATCCTCAGGTAATAATTTTCTATCTAGAACCACCCCTAGTTCTCTTAATTTATCAGAATGTTTTGAAGATTTTTTACATAATTTGTAGGTTGTGTGGGGTCTATGTTCTCCTATTCAACATTCCATAACATGGCTTTTATTCACACTAAATTCCATTTGCCAAGTAGTGCTCCATACACTTACTTTCTCCAGGTCTTCTTGAATGCCGACGATTGTCTAAGTTTCTTATCTTCCCTAGTATCTTAGCATCGTCAGTAAAGATGCTTATATGATTCTGTATTTCATGTAGTAGGTTGTTTATGTATACAATGACGATTAAAGGTGCAAGAACTGAACCCTGTGGCACTCCACTTGTGACATTTCCCCAGTCCGATACATTACCTCTGATTACTGCCCTCATTTGTCTGTCAGGCAAAACTTTTCATCTATGTCAGAAGCCTCCCTGTCACTCCTCCAGTATACCTGTTTGATACCTGCTTGATGGGGTTCTGGGAGTTGTTCTACTCCCCAAGCCCGGCCCGAGGCTAGGCCTCACTTGTGAGAGCTTGGTCCAACAGGCTGTTGCTTGGAGCAGCCCACAGGCCCACATATCCACTGCAGCCCGGTTGGTCTGGCTAATTCTATGTTCTAGTATGTTCCAGTTTCCGGCTACCGGCTACTTTCCAGCATACTGGCTAGTATGTTCCAGTTTCCAGGACAACCTCTTATGAAGAACTCTGTCAAAAGCCTTTTTTTTTTTTTTTAGCTCCAGATAGATGTAGTCAACAGAACCATCTCTTTCCTGGAAATTCTGTGGCTCTATCATAGAAACCGAGTAAATTCCTTACACAGGATCTTTCAGATCAAAAACTATACTGTCTGTTATTATATCATTTTTCTCCAGGTGTTCTACCCATTTAGTTTTAATTATTTTTCCAATATTTTGACTGTCACACTTGTCAGTAATACAGGTCTATAATTGAGGGGGGAGGGGTCTTTTCTGCTGTCACTTTTGTAGATTGGAACTATGTAAGCCTTTTCCCACACCTTTGCTAGGACTCCTGTACACTGGGAAGCCTGAAAAATCTGTTAAAGTGGAATGCTGAGCTCAAGTGCGCATCCTCTCAGAACCCATGGTGAAACTTCATCCAAGCCAACTGCTTTGTTCTTACTTAGTTCCTTGAGCTTTTTTCCACTCCGTCTCTAGACAGCTCTGTGTGCTCTATGTTGTTCTTGGGAATTCTTATTGTGTCTGGTTCTCTGAAGATTTAATTTTGGCACAAACTCACTTTGGAACTGTTCATTTAATGTTTCACCCATTTCCTTTTCATTTTCTGTGAATCCGTTTCCCATTTTCAACCTCTGAATGTTATCCTTTACCTGCAATTTGCTTTTGATGAATTTATAGAATAGGTCTGGTTCTGTTTTACATTTGTCCACTACCCCTTTCTCAAAATTTCTTTCCGCCTCTCTCGTCACTGCTGTGTAGTTGTTTCTCTCGCCTTTGTATCATTGGTATATTTGGGGGTTTGACCTCTTCCTATATTGATTCCATTTTTCTGTCTTTTGGTCTCTGGCAGGCTCTCAATTTCTGTTGAACCAATCCTGTTTCCGAGTTCTGCATCTGTTTTGGTTTAAATGTTTTTGTGCCTTTATCATATATTTCACAAAACTTGACATACATCTCATTTACTTCCTTGCCTAACAGCAAGTCTTTCCAATCAAATTCCTTAATTAAAGAAATGTCTGAGTTCCCCAAATTGTTCTTTCCTGAAATTAGGTTTTTCAACTGCCTCAACTTCCTCACTCTCTTCCAGATTATAATGCATTGCATACTTTTTTCCCCAGAGGACATGGTCACTTTTACCCAAGGGAGGAAGATACTGAATTTTAAATATCTCTTATTTTTTCCTGGTGAATATCAAATCCAGCATGGAGGGAACATTCCCTTCCCTCATCCTTGTAGTTTGTTGTAATGTGCAATGTGTTGTAATCCTTGTAAAGTGTTGATGCATGAATGTTTCCAAGATTATGTTTACGAATCTTCAGGTCCAAAAATCCTCTGCTCTAGCTTCATATGCCTCTCAGTCTATGGATTTCAAGTTGAAGTCACCGACTACCAACAGTCGTGAACTATCTTTATCCGCTCTGGATAAAGCCATATTCAGACTGGCCATAGTGTGACCAAGAATGTTCCTAGCTGTGTGACCATAGAAGGAAAAGCCTTGAAGGAGAGGAAGGCGACAAGCTTAGATCCCTAATATAAACTTTTCAACGGCAACCTCTTCATATTCTGTATATCTGTGCAGCTCTCACTCTTGCATGCACATTACTACTGCTGTTGTTGCTCTATGAGAAGACTACACAATGAGACGACCAGAACATGATTATCAATGAGAAAACATCGAGGCCATACCATGGGATACAACCTATGTCCCTGGAATCCCCCATCACCAGAATACTAACCCAGTGCTTCACCCTCTTTCTCAAATTCAAGTTGTTTCTGCCTGTAATAATTGTTCTTGTAGGAGTCCAGCTTCTTCCCACGGTACCGTACCTGACAGCAGAAAAGAAATTATCATGCAGGTCATTATAGCCTCTCAAGACATGTGCTACTTGATAAGCCTATGAATACATCGTGCCTCTTTACACACGTTACAAGTCAAAACATGGCACAATCCACCTGTGTTGAATATAAGGGAAGCTAACATTTTCTAAACCAGTACAGAACTATTGAGTGATGAACTTGAGACTAGTATGGCTGCACTGTCGCTGCTTAATAAACAAATCTTTGAGGATTAAAGCTATTTTCAAAACTAAATAAATGGAATAACAATATTAAAATGCATGCATGAACAATAACAAACAAGTCACATAATAGACAAAAAAAAGGCTAAACAAGGAATGCCGTGAAAAAATTTTACACATATTAGGGAAGTCGCTGGTATTGGTATTATAACCAGAATACAAATTAAAATAATCTATGCAAATTGTTGACAAAATAATTACATTGACTGTAACAATAACTGAAAAGACTACTAAAAACTATTATAAATATTGCAATACAGTACAGCAATTTGGAATGAAAATACAGTACAAATAAAATCAGAGTGAATACACATACAGTATGGGTAATGTAGACTACATACAAAAAATTTAAAAATTTTGAATAAAATCAGTTAACACCATCTACAATACATTAGACACAAGATGTGAAGATACAATCAGTGGAGAGCCAGGACCTCAATCTATTCAACGCTTCACATATTTAACAAATGTAGGTCCATTAACTTGGGGCCTTATCTGTATTCACACACAAAAATAATTTTCAAAACAAGGTTTTTGTCCTATATTGTTAAATACCATGCCCTTAGCATAGGAAAAATGTTCGAAAAATCTTATCACTGTCAAGATGACAGACGGCCACAGATGACCAGAAAAGTTCACTAGATATCTAGCAGCTATAAGAGGCCTCAAATACTGTGATGGGAACACAATGTACCAGCAGGAGTTTTACATGTTGCAAAGTAACTAAAACCTATTAGGATGTCATGTGAAGCACAAATCAAACACCTGAAGTTGGTATGTGCATTTCAAGGGTTAAAATTGATGTGGCAGATTGTCTTCATACCTATACAAAGTACACTTGTTCATGCGAGATTCTGAAAGATCACACCACACGTATGTTCAGACACCCTTATCAATAATAACCGAAATCACAAAAAAATGATGTATCATTGTCTGAATCAGTCACCAATGCATATTTTTTGTCTCAATCACTACTACGCTGGATACAATACCTTTATATATTACTTGGCTATTGACTGATTTAACTATTCTGAACAACACACACACCAGCTGCTATTAACATTTTTCAGATATTGTGTGCTACTGAATCATTGGGTAGCACAATACTTTACTTATATATTTCCTCCTTATTTAATTTGGTACATACAAAATCTAATTTTTCTTTGTGGTAAGAATGAAAGATGAAGGGTATTTTACTTTGGAAAGATCTCTTTACATGTTATTCAATTCATCAAACAAATTAGGAACAGAAAATATTCACAAAGCATGTCGAAAAAAACCAGCTTTGAATGTAATTAAACGCCAATTTCTGGGTGAGCTCCGTCGCCTCCCTGAAGCTATCTATACCGATACAGTGCCACACTACTTGGAGTCATCAGTCACAGAGTTCTTGTAGCTTACTGGGGACCACAAGCCAGAACCTGGCCCCCCCCCCCTCAGAGAGGAGTACTGTAGTAAACAATGGCTCATGAACACACTACATTTAAAGTGTCATTTTGCCATCGGCTAGGGAAGGCACCCAGAAAGGTAGGCGAATCAAAACAGACTACGGCCTGGTTGCACAGTGCGACCTACGCCCTCAAAATATCAAAGAACCCCCCCCCCCTTTCCACAAAGAAAAAACAAACAAGCAAAACTTCATCCAACTAACCCCCCCCTGCTGGTGGGAGGGGGAAGGGGGAGCTGCCCCGGCTTGCCAGTCAGTTCTTGAATGATAAAAGCCGCCAACCTGAGGGAGGGAGGGAGGGAGGGTGTCAGGGAGGCTCCGGGGCTTACCCAGAAACTGCTGTTTAATTACGTTCAATGCTGGTTTTCTGTGGGAAGCCCCGTCAGTTCCCTAAAACTAACTACCCACAGAGAAGGAAAAACAACGACTTACTAGGGAGGCGTCAGCACTGCAAGTATTAATCTGAGGAAGAGACGTTGGCCACAATAGACACCCCAAAACAACACAAGGCCACAGATGGCCAGTGTGGGGTTTTCTATTTTGCTTTCCCGACTGCAATGTGTACGTCGCCAATGTACATGTGGCAGACGCTTCACGAAGCTGTCAGAATCAGCAGAGAAAATTCGAGAGCAACCGTACAGGGCCTAAGAGCAAGGTCGAGTTAGAGTCCTTGAGGGTCTCTTCTCAGACTAGCCTCACCTGGTCCTGGTCCACGTTGATCGCTGGAATCTCCTCAATGCTTTAACACTTTAAGGGACTCCTAGGGCCCTCATCACATTTATAGTTTAGTGAATAATAGGCAACTCTGTGTTGAAGACACCTGGAGCTGAAGGCTTAAGTAAATAGTTGGCAGTACAGTATTCAGAAGTGGTTCAACGGAAACACCACATAAAGCTTAACAGTAGTTTATTTACTAACTTAACCACTAATACAAAGGGTGCTTGATTTACTTTAGATTGGCATCAGAAAGGCTATGGTTGCATTAGCGAGACTCTTGACGTCTGGCTAATCGATTCGGATCCACTCGTGGAGAAACACCTAACTTAACACAATTGACAGCCAATCATTAACACGGCAAACCTAACTGCTGGTGTGCAAAGGGATCACAAGAGTTCCAACTGGATACTTGGGTAATGATGATGTGCAATAAATCACAATGGCACTGTCAGTGGGACAGGCAATAACATGCACAATAATAATATCACACAATAACTAAATGTGTGGTGTATGTGAAGCTCACATTCACAGACGAGTGTAATGTCGTGATACCACACAGATAAACACGCATACACCGTCGGGTGTCTAGGTCTCCACCTATACCTGTGTCAGGTATAAGAAGGTGAGAACTGTGATTAATCCCTCAGACAAACACAAACAGACACAATAAAACAATGACAAGATCTTGTACTTACAGGTAGGCTACCTCTCTTATTCACTCACTCAGGCACATTTAAGCAAGAACTCGTAGGTGGCCTGACAGCTGGTTTCGCTCGCTCTGACGTGTGACCATTGGCGACAGGCTTTCCCACAAACCGTACTTGACACGGAGGGTACTCGCAGGAGGGTGTGCTGTATGTCTAACAGACACACGCACACACTTGATGGCACTGACGGTGAGTAAGGTGGTGACGTCACGTGCGACAGTGAGGCAGGGCGGCGGGGGACTCGAGGCTAGCAACACGCTCTGGACCGAGTGGCGGCTGGTGGCTGCAGGTTATATGGTACCATGCAGTACACTGTGGTAAGTCACACACAGGTTACTCAGGCAGCAGCACTCCTTAGTTCACTCTAGGTCGCTCACAACGATCTCAATTTGTCACCAGGGGTTTCCTGATACCAGTCTGTTTCACTCTGGTGATTAATCTTTAGGCTTCTAAACAATATACTCACGATCGCGATTCCGGGCAAATGTTGGTATATCGAAAAAAAGCTGAGTTTAACTTGATGGTGAAGAATGGACGATGTTCAGTCTATTGGCCGATAGACAGAACAGGACACGTCCACTAGCTATGAACTTCCTCATGTGAATACCCTTGCAAGAGAATGCAGAGCTCCTCGTGTTGCACAAAAACAAGGGGTTACAATTGACCAATTGCATTGCAGCAAAAGAGCAGAAACCAATCATATTGATTGTTCCATGATCAGTAGCAGTGGTGACGTCATGAACACGTCACAGTTGTTATTCTCCATCGCGCTGGTTGAGGCTGACCTCAGGGGTCAGATCTGTCGCCTCGCTGGCGTCCCCTGTCTCTCTCTCTCTCTCTCACGCTTCGCACCAGCCAATGTACTCTGACCCTATGGCATGGATGCTCAACTTCCTGTATCTACTTCCTGTCTGGACATACAGCGGCCTTCATATTATAAACGTATTCCTGGTTAAGTGGGCATCCTGGAGATGCCCAACATGACAGTTTACTATCCAGGGTTAACAGAGATAGGGCCTGTGCACGAGATTGGTACACTGTGCACTGCAATGAGAATTCAAGTCAGCTGTGGGATAATCTTGAGAGACCATCCTCTCACAGCCAGGAACGTTCACAAGATATCTGGTGGCCAAGATCCTATTAAACCTCCAAAACCACTCTTTCCCTGTAGAATTCCAGCCGAGCTAGAACCTGGAGCAACAGTTGGACCAGGGGGAAAAATGTACAGGAACCTCCATCTTGATCAGTCCGGCCAAAAAGCATCCAACGCAAAAGCCTTGCAGTCAGGGAACGGCACCATATACACAGGACGATACCGAGACCACACCGATGAGAAGAGGTCCACCTCTGGGTGCTTGTACATCTGGTAAAGCCAAAGGAAGGAAGTGGCAACGACCGTCCATTCTGTGGAAAGAGATATGAAGTGTGACAGACTGCCTGCCAGGACGTTGGACATTCCCTGAACGTGAAGAACGAGGAGAGCTAAACACTAAGACCTCAGCAGAAGAGCTACCTGAAGTGGCCAGCTCCAAAGAGCCACGGACCAAAGAGAGCCCCCCTCTACCAGCTCAGACAATGAACCACAGGGAAACAATCCTAAATGAGCCGGATCACTGGGCCTAAAGCACACCGCCTGCCACACCGCAGCAAACTCCCGCACCATGCTCCGAGCCCGATGGATGGACAGCCACTAATGCCCCTGGCCGGACTGGTGAGTGCTGGTCACAAAGCCCCAACCGAGAAATGAAGCAACCGTATAAACATCGAGCAAGGAAAGAATTAGGTCATTGCCATGGCACTTAACTCCAAAAAACCCAAAGAGGAAGCCAGTGATACAGCAACCAGCACAAGGACACCAAGGGATGAACCCAGCGATCA